TTTTTTTTTTTCGTATACTGGTAAATGACTTTCTAGAACAAAGTAGAAGGGATGACTTGGAGTCGCTAGGCTATGTTCTAATGTATTTTAACCGGGGTACTCTACCGTGGCAAGGTCTCAAGGCAGCTACCAAGAGGCAGAAGTATGAGAAGATATCGGAGAAAAAAATGGGGACGCCTGTGGAAGAACTATGTGCTGGTTATCCAGGTATGAAGCTTAGCGATAAAGAGACATTTTTATTTTAAGGGTTAAAGCTCCTGCATGTCGAGTTTGACAATTCTTCTTTTGCAGTTTCCTGCAACAGTACCTACTTTGAAGAATTTTTAGAGGCTTTTGCTGTTTACCTAAAGTATTGTAAGGGGCTTGGGTTCGAGGAACATCCTGATTATTCGCATTTGCGCCAGTTATTCCGTAATTTGTTTCATCGTCAAGGGTTCACATATGACTATGTATTTGATTGGAATCTTTTGAAGTAAGTGAGCTTTCTAACAGTTTTCATTATTCGTTGAATGTGTTTTGTTGAATTCAGAATAGCAAGTTTACAATTCTTTAATTTGCAAGCATCGCTAACTTTCCTGAAATTGAGTTTTTTCAGGACAGCAAAAAGGGTACAACAAACTGCTCCGTCGCAGCTGCCTCAACCGCGAATGGTTATTGATTAAAGGGTGATTTTTCCTTGATTTTTTGAGTTTAGAGCGACAAAATTCTCTAATCACGTAACTACTGCTACTTTATATTATTTGAATTTTAAAGGTCGGAAGCGCTCATTTATGCGACAGCATAAGCAGAGGCATATTTGTTATTGTTACTGTTGGTTTTTTGTTCTTTGAGATATTCGTTGTCACTCTATTAAACGTATTGTTTTAGTTGATACGGGTATGGGTGATGTAAATTGTGAAGGAAATTCTCTTCGAATAAATTGTGAAGGAAATTCTCTTCGAAGGCGTTTAACAAGAGACTTATATATGGCATCTCGTTTTTTTCATTGGAGTAGTTTTTGACGGGTGGACTGAATTATTTTGTTAATGTTTCGCTTCATATTATCCTTGTCCTTGGCGTTGTGACAAAAGTTAAGATTGCGGAATTCAGGAACTTATTATTTGATTTGTAGCGAATAGTTCTGGAAAATACGGAAGTTATTAATTAATTACTTTCAAGCGGTCCTGTTTCTTTCTTTGGTAAGGTTTATTAGTTTTCATGCAGGTAGTTAGAAATTTGAAGGATTGTTTTTCTGATTATCGGCTGAGTTACTATTTGACTTGAGCGAGGTAATGTTGTTTTATGCATACGTTAGTTGTGTCAGATAATTTATCGTTTTAAGCTTTGTCTTTTAAAAAGCATCTAAATTAATTCCCCTTTTTTTGTACATAACTCCATGTACCGTTAATTGTACCAATTGTGAAGCTTTTCGACGAGTTACAATAATTGATGGCTTTCTTCGTTTCCTTTCTTTTTTTAAGGTTTTACTTTTGTCTTTTGAAATTGGAAAGGTGATTAAGTACATTTGGTTAGAGTTTCGAAAACTTTAAGTCATTTGGAATCAAGTTTAGAAAACCAACTTATTTTGACTTTCTTTCAATTTCTTGTGTCTATGGTTGCTGTCATCTTGCCTTTTTGTGCATTTTGTTTTTTTGTGGTTCACGTTGTTCCTTGGTTTCCTATAATTATATTTTTGTTATTAAATTGTTCATAAGCCGCTTTGTGAGTTCAGTATGATAGATGACTTCGGTGATTGAAAATGTTCTGTTGTTTGTGCTCAATTTTTCAACTGAACTGATTTTTGGAGCATTAAAAGTTTTACTGTTTGTATGGAGTTGTTGTAAGCATTCTCTTTGGAAAGTACTTTTTGTAGTTTCTTCCTCAGCTTGATTGTGCCTTGACCACATAGCTCAAGATAATTTCAGTACTTTGTTCATTAACTTTGTATCTTTTCTGTCTATCTCAATATAGTTCTTGCAACTGTCTTCCTGTGAATATTTTCAGGCAGACTTTTCTTCTGCTGTCGTCTCCTCTGACTGCTGCTTGCTTTTTTTTTTCTGTTATAATTTTTCATTCTTTTAAAAATAAATATTCTGTTGAATTATCTTTTCGGGCTTACTGGAACTGAATTTAAAAAAGCGAGGGAGAGGGGAACCAGTTTTTCCTAGTTATTTTTTTCGACCGATGACTGTTTCAAAATATGTTAAACAGAAAAAGGCTTCTCGAGATTAATCGTAGCAGCATAAGGGGGTCTATTCTTGCATGTTGTTTGGAGTCATCTATTGAACAGGCCTGCTGCTTGTAAGATTGGTGCTAGCACTGTTGATTGCAGGATGACAGTTCTTCGTATTGTGTAACATCGCTGCCTGTGTATGGTGTTTCCTTTTTTACAGTATAATGTCTTCAAAAGATGTTTAGATTTTCCAATTTTTCTTTCTTTATTTTTTTAAACTTATTAAATACATTGGGATCTGAAATCCATTACGCCTCTCCTGTTGCTTTGCTCAAAAGAGAACATTTTCTGATCAAGCTGTTCCATCCCATGGTTTCTTATAAATGATCTGAGCCAGTTTCCCTTTCTTTTAATGACTTTATGGTGAGGTGATCGTCAGTCGCTCTTTATGTGCAGTTGGAGTTTTCTATTCATAGTTTATCCAACACTTTGTATTTCTCTTATTTCCCTGGATATAAAATGTGTGTGTGTGT